GCATCAGGAGCACCACAGAGGCCCTGGGCCACGGGTACTACTACAGTGCAGGGACAAACTGGAGGGAGGACAGAAGGACATAATCACAACACTGTAAGAGAAAAATGCCAATCCACGTTGCACTAATAACAAAAGGTTTTCTGTAATTCAACGTGTACCTTATTGTGTAACTGCAGCTATTTAGTATCACATGGAACGTCACAAATAACTACATGAGGATGTTTGCGATACTTTGCCAAAAAACACACAAACTTAAGGATAAATGCTTTTAGCATTATATTACTGTTATCAAGACTAAAGGTACGATGCCTTGTTTTTTTTAAAGCCCGTACAATGTTAAGATTTACTTGCAGCTCACGACGATGTTTTCTCATTTCTAAAAACAACACAAACCTAATCACCTGTTTTAATTATTGTATGAGAAGAACACACCTCCAAATTATGATAGCTTTGGTTCCTATCGGGTTTCTTATGTCACTTTGGACAAACGTCAATGTAATGTAAAGCAAGACGGAGCAAAAAACAACTGCTGCAGCTACTAACGGCCTAGTGGTCAGTCCACAACCCGCATTACACAAGCAGGCCGGGCTGCTCTTTCCAACCACTTACAGTGTGTGTTCCTAAAAACAATGGCTCTGTGTTTACAGAGTTGTTAACAGAACTTTTAAGAGCGGTGCAACGACACAGCAGGATGCGGTGGGAGGCAACAAACCAAAAGTATTTGTCGTTAAAAGCACAAACCCAGACTCCTGTTCTTCCAATTAAATTTCACCGTGGTTAGTTGAAGCAGCCAGGGTAAGCTGAGCTGTTATCAGAGCCCCGAACGTCTACCCAACATCCACAAACACGGTCTTTGTTGGGTAAACATACGGTATCTTGTGACCTTGTACGCATATAACCATGGCACTGACAAAGCCGTGCAACCAACAGGTTTTCATTCGTATTGAGGCTGCATTTAATGGTTATTTTTTCAATTAATGGATCATTTACTAGGTGTATAAAACGACAGACGCATTATATTTTCCTAAAAGCCCAGTTTTTTTTAGTATATGTATATTTTACCTGAAGCTTCAGCTAGAGACCGTTTGTTTCTTTAACAAGAATTTAAACAAATTAACTGATTATCAAAATTAGGGCTGCAACTAACTAATTTTCATCATCAATTTATCTGATTATTTTGTACCACTCTTTTTTTTTAAATATCTGAAAATATAAAAATGCTAATTAATTTCTGGCAGTCCAATTTAATAAAAAAATAATGTTTTTAATATGTTTTGATGCAAATCTATTTCCTGTCCATCGACAAATCAAATATCGAATGAATTATTTGCTCTAGTTAATATACAATTATAAAACTATATTTAACCACACTACAGCTTTCACGTTAAAGTCGAGTTATCCTGTGGCTTCCTTACAATAGCCAGGTTACAAAGCTACGTTTTAAAATGGTTTATACACGAGGTCAACGCCATTCAGCACCGAGGTTAATCCAACTTCTCGTACAAAGGCTACTCGGCACTGGGCCCGGGCTGATAAAACGATAAAAAGACGATAAACTCTCCTTTAATTGATATCGGTTTATCTATTTGCACCACTGCATCACATCAACTTCTTCCTGCCGACTCGAGGCTGCCGCAGTGAACTGTTGCGTAATAATCAACCTGACCTCCGTCGTCACATCACGAGCTCAACGCGGCCAGTCAGCATGTGCTCACCTGGAGACTTTACCTGCAGGTTTTTATGAACCCTGGAGTCTTTTTTTTTTTTCTTCCTTCCTCTTCTACCTTTCGCCTGGAGCCACCAAATGTCACAGTTAAATAATAACCCGAGCTAAGGCCAGGTTGTGTGCGGATGAAGCGTCTACTGTTCAGCGGCCACTCTTCGGCGAGAAAGTTACAAATGTTTTTGAATCGTTCATCGTAAACTAACAGTATTTTGTCGGATCGGATGGATTTAATAAATACGGATTAACGTAAGAAAACCTGCATTAAAATCGATTTAAATCCCTCGTCTGTTATCGATTATTTGCGTACAACAACGGCTTTCCGCCACAAACCGAACCACACATGTGTTAGTAGTCTCAACTCACAATCATCAAAGTGATTAACTATTATAAATAAAATAACTGCTTAGCTTAGCTTAGCTGGCGCAGTTAGCTAACCACAGTGACGTACCACAAGTTGGAAGCTAATGCTAACGCTAATGCTAACGCTAGTGAAGTTGTCTCTCGGGGCCAGCGAGTGAATGTGAGCTTATTTTAATATGACATGCCGAATAAATACAGTCACGACTGCGGTTGTGGCAACGCGTAACGCGGCGGGTATTGGCGACACAGTGAGTTGTATATTCGTTTATTGCATTTAAAGTTAACCGTGTTTTACTTCCGCTTTCTGTGGCTGCTAATCTACGTTAGCTTAGCAACCCCTCCCCCACATCACGGTTTTCTCTTCCCGTCGTTTACTTACTTCCCAATCATGTCACAGATACCGCTACTCAAGTCCGCCATGGTAGTATAAGACTGCTGTTTTCCTTCTTTCTCGCGAGCAAAGCAATGACTGTTTAGGATCCGCTGGAGGTTGGATTTTACCATCCGGCCTCGGGTAGAGACACGACGGGCTGACTGCTCTCTGCTGTGCTCTGCTGGGTAGTGGTCGGTCGGAGAGTCGGGAGCTGCTGAAAAACACAAAACAGGAGTCAAGTTACCCGCAATGGGAGTTACACACTTCCGTTAGGGCTTTTATTCCACTTCAAAATAAAAGTCATACACGGTTAAAGGTGTACGTTTTCTGTAATAGTAATATATATTCTTCTCTTCTCTTTTTTTTTATTTCGAACATGTGCGAGTAACACAACAATGTTTGTATGTTTTGAAAGTACTTTATTTTTCTGTGTGGTTTTTGTGTGATTTGAATAATTGTATATTTGTATATTTGTATATTTGTATATTTGTATATTTGTATTTGTATATTTGTATATTTTATACACCAACTGCACCAGGTCACATTCCTTGTAGGCGTAAAAACCTACTTGGCAATAAACAAAATTCTGATTCTTAAAAAAAATAAAAAAATAAACTGACAAACAAACAAATCTAATGAATATAGTCAAAACAACAATAACAATA